TGTGTTGTGTGTGTGTGTTTTCTTGTACTTACTACCTAATGAAAACCATTTCCACTATTTTCCCGACAAAGTGAGGACATTTTTAGTCCTCACTTTTGTTTAAAGCTTAGCAGTTGGTTTTAGAGATATGGTGTAAAATTAAGCTTTAGTTAAAGTGACAGTGTGTATTTTTCCTGGCGATAGAGGGCAGTAGATACCTAAATCGTTGCAAGCAAGCAGTATTTTTGTGCTGCAATAAGACCTTACCAACGGGTGCCCTTAGGGTCAAAAAGCCCTGGGGAGTGCAAACTTTAGCAAAATAACAAGCGCATCAGACTCCCTTTCATCACTGACAACAAATTAAAATGTAAATGTGTAAAACAACATTTAAGAATGATGAAAGTTTTGTAATTGTTTCTACAAATCAGTATGCATTTTGTGCTCATGAGCCCCCGTAGAAGGAAACATGGCATTTAATATGGCGTCGCCCAGAGACTTAGGCCCGCTCCCGTGTATTTTAGACCTGATTTATAAGGCTATATGTTATGAAGCCACCAATATTTTTCAACAACTGGGCATCATTTCATTCATTTTCAACAACATTTTCATGGATATTTCAAGAGATTAACGGTAAAAACTATACATTGTCTCTTTAAGGTTAGGATTAGGAATAGATCAGCATTGGTTAGGGTTAGGCATGATACAGTCACAATAATGAATTGTCCTCACAATGATAGAAATACAAACGTGTGTGTGTGTGTGTGTGTGTGTGTGTGTGTGTGTGTGTGTGTGTGTGTGTGTGTGTGTGTGTGTGTGTGTGTGTGTGTGTGTGTGTGTGTGTGTGTGTGTGTGTGTGCGTGTGTGTGTGTGAATCTGAATCTCCTGGGTAAGTCTCCATCAAATGGTAAATAATTGAAAACATCTACTGTCTAAATAACTCTAAACCTGTTCATCTTTTCATCCCGTATTAATTTTTTGATTTGAGGATTTTAAAGGAGTAGATGACTTGTTTAATAAATACATTTTGTAGTGGTCTCTAGTAAGAATGAATGCCTTGGAAATCATTCTTGGGAGGAAAAAATATACAGGTGAACTATTTCTCTGACCTAAAGATTGCCCACATCAGAGCTGAGCTTCAGACGCCAAGATTTAGAGTCTTACTTCCTGATAACTGGACATCTCTCCCCGGACTGGAAAACAGCAACACGACTCTACCACTGGCTTGCAACGTGGATGTTTTATCTCCACAAATACCACACACCTGGAGGAGTGTATGAAACGTGGTGCAGTTGCTTATGCTAACGGCTAGCTTAAACTAGCTGAGACTTCCGCTGCTGATTCCCAGACGCGACACCTACAACAGCCTTCATCGTCGTGAGTCAAGATGGGTGAGTCCAAGAATGTTAAGCGACAGTGTGACGTAGATCTGTCAGGATTTTAAACTCCTAGAATTTCACCCTCAGTTTCCTATCAGAATTTGTGAGACTATTTTCATGTTCAGTCTGCATGAAAAACCCAGAGTGACCGATTATAAAAAAGTTGTTTCTGTGAACCACACCTTTAAAGATCATCCTCTGTGTATTAAAAACAAAACACCAGCTTGACTTCTGGAGTAAAAGTAAGAGCAAGATCTTAAATCGCACCACGTGCTCACCCAAAACACACACACACACACACACACACACACACACACACACACACACACAAAATAGGTTTATGGTTACAAATGTTCTCTCTGACGCAGAGACTCAGGATAAAAACTCCAAAAGGATGTTGTGAATAAGAGTCCTTTGAGTCACACAAGGATCCTTCTGTTTCAGCAGCTGACAAATGTCACCAGTGATGTCACCACCGCCGCAGGCGGACACAATGAAAACTCACCCTCCTAAAAAAGAAAACAGAGGACACACTCACTTTTGTTTCTAATTTCCCTAATTTGGGATGACCATATCTAATTAGTGACACCAGTTTCAGAAAATCCTAAAGCCGTAGGCCTGCGTTTTCAGTAAGAGAACTGTTATTTTGAACAGAACTGGCTGACAACAATTTCATTCAATCAGACATGTGAGTAATCTACTGTTCCACTAAAAGGGTTCCCATGTAAAGAGCAAAAACATGGGGATTTATCTGTAGCCAGTCTGACCCTTTTTGAAAAACGAGATCATCTGGATCAGAAGCAGACCCCCTGCTGGAAAGAGGCGGGTAAAGGACTCACGTCTGCACACATACACACACATCACACACACAGATGGATGCGCACACATCACATCACACATTCACGCGCGCGCGCACACACACACACACACACACACACACACACACACACACACACACATGGATGCACAAACATCACATCACACACACACATGCACATAAACACATCACACACATGCACAAACATCACAAACATACATGGGCGCACACACATCACATACTCACACAAATGCACACAAATACACACGCACACACACACGGACACAAACACATTACACACACACATGCATATGCGCGCGCACACACACATACATACACACACACACCCCACCCACACACACACAAACCACACATATGCACACATCACACACCAAGGATGTTTGGCATTGTTTGAACCAGCAAAATGTCCCCACAATGTGGAAATATCCACACACTACAGGTTAAAGTTAAAATTTGCCCAGTTAAACATATAAAGAAAAGTACACACACACACACACACACACACACACACACACACACACACACAAACACACACACACACACACACACACACACACACACACACACACACACACACACACGACGCCATGCTGGTCAAAATTAGAAATACCCCCAAGCATCATACACACAATTTAAATTAAATTCAGTTGCTAATGCACACATCTGGATATATTCTACAAACAATGTAAATAAATGAATAAATAACTAAATAAACTAGAAAAGCAGGGACTTCATTTCGTTTCCTAAGTAAAGCATAACAAAGCTTTGTAGGATGGCATATAACAGGAACATGTGGTACTCCGTTTGTTTGGGTTTCTGAAAAAATAAATAAATAAATAAACAGCTAATAAATTCAATAAAAGAGAAATTTTGATTTTTGGTTGAAAATATCTCATTGATAGAGTTTTGCTGTTTATGTGGGAAATGACAGCGCTAATATTTGTTTCCAACATCTTGGTCTAGTAGTTTATATTCCAACAGATAATTATTTTCACTCTCACTGCATTACTTTTCAGTGAATAACAAAATCTATTTTTCTAATTAATTCTACTTTTTCTATCAACAGAAGCAATCATAATCTATTAGCTGAGAAACTGCAAACATGTAAAAACAAGTTGTTTTTTATGTTCAGAGAACAACATTGTTAGAAAAGTTTCAGTGTTATAGTTACTGACGTAAATAAACCTGCAGCTGATAGAAAACCAAATAAAAAAAGACAGTAAATATATACGCCCATTACTTAAACGTTGACTAAAGACAGATGCATCCTCCTCAAAGGGTTCAAAGCTTTAAAATCTAAACCTTAATTGCATGTTATGTTTTAACTTTAAATCATGCTACAAATTAAAGCCACAACAGCAAATTTTTACATTTTTTTCATGCCTCTTAACATTCTAACATAGTATAATGATAAATATATTAAGGAGATAAAAACAAAATGAAAAAAAAATTCTCGTACTTGTCGAAAACCTTGGCCATTAACACGTTTCGGACCAAAAGCGACCATTGGACCATCCAGCTGTCAGTCTCGCTGAACCGCCGCCCTTCCACTACTCACTCGCATATTTAGCAACAAAACACCACTGGTGTGAGGGATTCTCCACTCAATAATATCAGAGAAACAGCCGGCTGCTACCGCTCCACCCTTAGGACAAACTACCAGTCCAAAAAATAACAACGCCATTTGAAGTGACGGACAACAAAAGACGTTTAGACCTAGAAAACTGGTGTTTAGCGCTATCTCGTTTGCTCTCGCATCGCGGGTTGCAAGGGGAGGGGTGAGGGTTTTGTGACTGGGTTTCCATTTAAAACCTAACAAGATTTGTTTAAACACTTTTAATTAACATAAGAGTTTAATTTTTGCTCATAAGGTCTGGGAATAGACAACGTCTGCCAGTAAAACCATAAAGATACAAATGAAGAAGATGCATTGCTCCAACGTGAAACATGCTGATGTCACCACAAAGCATCACCATGCCCCTTGTGTAATCATTAAAACTCCAATCTCTGATAATATAGCAGTAATAAATAAAGACACCATGCTGGTTTGTCTCTGTGTTTAGCTGAATTCAGCCAAGAGGGTTGAAGGACACTAATGGGAAGTCCGGTGAAACCTGAAGCATCCCTACGAACAAAAACAAAAGCTAGTACTAAATAATTAAGACAAAAAGTCAAGAAAATCTTGAATTAAAATGGCTCAGGTCTTTCAAATGAGCTTCAGGTCAAACCAGCAAAGCTCTGTTTTTAACCTTGTGAGGAGCCGTTATTGCACAGGCCTGGGAGAAACCCAACAGGATGATTGATGGAACATCATCAGTTCAGTCCAGCTCGTTGGAATTAGCCTGTCGTAACCCTTTTAACTAGTCCTCTGAGTATACACCATGGGTTATAGGGGACACACATTTCTATAAAACAGCATGAAATTACACCATAAAATGTGTGCTTGTGTGTCTGAACGTGTGAATGTGGTAGTGTCTTCCTCTCCAACCTGCCACCTACTCAGAAGCTCTGAGAAAAATAATCTTCACTTTCTGTCATCATAAAATCTGAATTACATCTGGTAGAATGTAAGAAAAAACACAGATAAGTGAAGTGCCATTGACCAATCAGGTGGCAGAATATTGTCCACACAAAGGCACAGAGTTGCCTGTAACTGTAATTTCACTTCCTTTCTCCCAAGGATGGAGCCAAAAATATGTTTGAAGATAAATATTGAGTACCAGTTGGCCCACCAATAAACTACATTAGAAGTGATCTCAGTAAAAGCTGACAGTTTTTGGAGCTCTGTGTGCAGATCTGTTTCCTACCCAGTGTTAATGGAGATGATTTCTATGAGCGGGTTTTTTCTGATCTTCGGGAGGTCCAGTCTGGCGCCTCCAAGTTTCCTTCCACCATCCTTCTTCTGTCCCAACAATCGAACTGAGTGACCTGGACACAAACAAATAAACAACTAAAACACACATTCACGATAACAAACACACAATCATGCAGAGGTAACACTAGACCAGAGCAAAGCTATATGCTGTTATACTAATAAAAATAATGACATTGTTTTTGTTAAATCTAAATTCTTTTGGTCAAGAGGCTGAAGCCATCAGCTGGTTAATTGTTGCTTTAGCATTTAATACTGCTGCCTTTCCCCTAGCAGTTGGCCTTTTACAGCATTTGAGTGCAAAATAGCTATCAGTGACACAACTATTAATATCTACATTTAAGACTATCGTGTATTTAGATATACTTATTATAGCAGTGGTGTCCAATCCTGGACCTGGAGGCTATCATTCTGCATGTTTTGGAGGTTCTCTGCTACGAAACAGCAAATTGCATTAAACTGGAGAGTAATAGACTTCTGCAGAACTTGAGGATATCGTGAACAGGTCCCTCAACCACTGGAGCAAAGATAAAAAACTAAAATTATTCTACTGATGGCAGTTCCAGAAACAAAAATCACACTTGAAATGCTAATCAACACATTTGCATTTGACACCATTACAATAATGAGCCAGATGTTTCAAAAGTGTGCTCTTCTAGATGAGATCATCAAATGTCAGGACACCTGGCAAGCGAGCACAAAGCAGGCCAAAGAAAGCATGAACAAAACTTGTGTCAAATGATTTTATATATATATATATATATATATATATATATATATATATATATATATAAAAGATCAACTTTACTCATACTTATAATACATCTGCAGTTGTCTTGTACGTTGTGAGTTGTACTCTAGGGGAAACAAAAGCTCTGGTGTGTCTGTTTGGGCACGGAGAATTCAGCTGGAGGAGAAAATAGTTCCAGATGGCAAGACTCTACCACTGACTCTGTTTGCTCTGCAACTATGTTTTATCTTTACAAATAACACACGCTTGAAGGAGTTCTGCCACATTCTGGAGTTGCTAATGCTAACGGTTAGCCTCTACTAGCAGAGACATGCTCTACAGCCCTCCTCGTCGCGAAACAAGACGGGTGAGTCCATGAACTTTAGGTGCTCTGCGGCGGGACTGAAGAGGGTGACTATAGGCATGACCATTTTTCTACAGTCATGTCCATAAACATTGGGACAAAGACACAATTCTAACACTTCTGGCTCGATACACCACCACAATGGTTTAGAAATGAAACACGGTGCAGATGGATGATGACCCAAAGCGTACTGCTAAATACTGCATCACCTGGTTTGTGAAAACCCTCAAATAAAGCTGAAAGTCAGCAGTTATAGCACATCATGCTTGTTTCATTTGAAATTCGTTGTGGTGGTGTATAAAGTCAAAAATGTTAGAATTTTGTAGATGTCCTAATATCTATGGACCTGAATGTAAATGTCTGGCTGAAGCTTCTCAAAGAGCAAGCCTATGATAGGTCAGAACGACACTTCCTTTGAATGAGTCGCCATCTAAAAAATGACTGCCCAAGATATCTAGCACCAGAAAAGCCCCATTGTCATGGTGGGAGACTGCTCCCCGGGACACAGAGAAGTCTGAAAGGAAAATGTTGTGTCTCTGTACCCAAGCTGGCAAAGCAGTATAAACTGAGCTTTGGCCTCTAAGGTGTCTAACAAATGTATCTCCAGGTGTCTCAGTATGTATGAGCAGATCATCACACTAACCAAAGATGTGTCAAAGCCATGCAAGAAAAGAAATGAAAGATGTCCACTGTAGAAGGGCCTAGGAGGAACTTACTGATTGGTTGAAAACAAGGTAGCATAGAACAAGATCTCCTTTTAACTCAGATGCTGAATTCACTAATAAGTGGAAGAACTTCAATAAGGCTCACGTCAGAGATGGGGCAAACATCTGATCATGAAAGTTTCATTTTGGCATCTAATAGTTAGGTTTGATAACTAATAGTGCCCATCCTTGGGTGAGAAGAATTGGAATGCTGCAGCTTCTCTACTCTAAACACCCAATAAGGTATCAGCTGGAGGTGTGTGAAATGGAGGCACTGAGGGATGGAATTGTCTTCCTGTTTTCATCCGCTTTACACAGGTCTCCTGGGAGGGAGGGATCAGGGCAGGGAGCATGCTTATCAATTGGTAGATAAAAATGACAATCTGCCCCAGAGGAGGACAAAGAGCCAATCGGTGAGGCGTGACTGCTCGTAATATCCTAGTACAAGCAAGGAAATGAGAAACCTTCCCCCCGTGGAAAACAGCTGGGACTTTGAGCACATTTGGCCTGCCTTTGCTCAAGAGTCCACATGTGGTGAAGACACAGAGACCCTAAACAACTACAAGCTTTATGACACCCTCACCTATGTTGCTGCTGGTTTTAGCGTTTGGTGTAGTATTTGTTCAACATCAGATAATTCTGCAAATTCTTAAACAGTCACAGCTATACTTAATGAACTGTTACTTATTTTTGTTCCATCTCTCTCTCTCTCTCTCTCTCTCTCTCTCTCTCTCTCTCTCCTCTCTCTCTCTCTCTCTCTCTCTCTCTCTCTCTCTCTCTCTCTCTCTCTCTCTCTCTCTCTCTCTCTCTCTCTCTCTCTCTCTCTCTCTCTCTCTCTCTCTCTCTCTCTCTCTCTCTCTCTCTCTCTCTCTCTCTCTCTCACACACACACACACACACACACACACACACACACACACACACACACACACACACACACACACCCCTACATACTTGTCTCTGTTTCCTTGTGTGGAACCTCCATTGACTCCCATTTATTTTTGGGGCTCCACTATGCCTAACCCATACCCCAACCCTAACCATAACCAATGCTGATCTATTCCTAACCCTAGCCTTAACTAAAACTTAATTCACACCATACCTCTAACTGGTATAGTAAGCTTCTGGTAAGCTTCTAAAAAGTGAGGACCAAAAAAAATGGTCTCATAAAATGTCCTCACATTGTAGGGAAAATGGTCAAAATGGTCTTAAGTATGTAGTATGTACAACACACACACACACACACACACACACACACACACACACACACACACACACACACACACACACACACACACAATTTGTGCATGATGATGTAACAACAGACCCTAAAGTGTAACCTTAATTAGAAACACAATGGATCAGGTTTAGGCAGGTTGGTTTGTTTTCCAAATTCACATTTTCTTTAGTTTCAACTGAAGATTTACTTGAAAAAGTAGTCAAATACATAATGAGATCAGCAGATTTGTCAGGGAAAGCAATTACCTGCATGGTGGTGGGTTTTCCAGATGTTTCTCCAATTATGAGACTATCCAGTCCAATAAAACTTGGAAACCATTTTGGTTCCAACACATTATGTTTCCCCTCCAAACCTGAACAGCTCTAGTCTACGTGACCACAGGCCAAGGCTCAAGGAATAATCTCAATACCAGCATGGAATCACCGCAGGAACATATCCAAAGCCAAATTCAATTTCAGAGCTACAAATGAAAAGCGAGAGAGAACATGAGTTGTTGAACTAAAAAGCAAACAGCAACAAAAAAAGCTTCCCTATTTGTCATCTCAATTACTGAGTTTAGAGAAGCCGACTGCTGTGACGAACATCACATACAGACGCATCGCCCTGCACCTCGTTTTCTTTTTATCGATTGTGCTCCTCTCCTCCCTTTGCACTTTCCCCAATCTGTCTTTGTTCCTTTTTTTTCCTCTCCTTCATAAATACAAACCAACATAAATCTTTTCTGTGCACTCATAACGGCCCATTAAAGCACGCTGGAAAAAGGAGGGGAATGAGGCAAGGACAGATGGATGGAAAGGTACGTTGGTGGATGAATGAATGAACAAGATGTATGACAGAGAAGGGTGGATGGTTGGGTGAAAATGCAGAAAGCTAAAAGGATGACCTGTTGACCTGTGTGTGGTGTCTTGTAAGTGACTGGTCCCGTTGTGCTCTCTGGTTCGATTGAAAAGCAGCAGGCAGAATTTTGTGGGAGATGGGGACATTTGAGGATGGAGGTAGAAGATGAAGAGGGGAAGGGTGTAATATTTTTCTTTTTTCTTTCAATCCAATCCGACCATTTGTACACACGACTGACTGCTGTCATTGACACAGGCTGATTCTTTCATTTCTTTTGATTTTGCTGGACGTCAGTCAAACACCTCTTTTGATGTCATCAGCTTTCCTCTAACCTTAGATCTCCTTCCCTTAGCACTGGCCTGACGCTTGATGTCATTTTACCAAACACAGTACTAGGGCTGCAACAACGAATCGATAAATTCGATGAAAATCGATTACTAAAAGCGTTGGCAACGAATTGCGTCATCGATTCGTTGTGTCGCACAACTCTTCCAAAAGCGCCCCCCCCCCTCCCGCCCGCCGTTGCGCGCAGACCAGAGCAAGTCAGATCAGCGCGAGGGAGAGCCGCAGATCAGCGCGAGGGAGAGCCGGCAGATCAGCGCGAGGGAGAGCCGCAGATCAGCGCGAGGGAGAGACAGTACCGGCAGATCAGCGCGAGGGAGAGCCGGCAGACTTGCGCTGCTGCGAACCGGTTCCGCATTGTCGCGCAGCGATCCAGGCAGCTGCTTCCAGCGCACGGTCCATTCTCAAAGTGGCGCAACCAAAAAACTATAATTAGCACACGATCGTTCATGTCCGCACACGTTCTCTATTTTCTGTCTTATTTGTGCCTGAAGCTCGCTACTGCGGAGCTCATCACCTGTGCTGTGGTGATGTCACCTCACGCAGCATCGAAAACGCGCTCTGCGCTTTTCGGTCAGGAGATCCCTTTGATCTGCTCAAAAGTAACTGATGAGGTGAAAAGGTAAGAATCCAGGCAACAGATTTTCTGGAGGATTATGAGGAGATGCAGGAAGATGAGAGACAGACAGGACAGGAAAATAGTTAAATAAAAACAAGAAAACAAAACAAAGTGTTGAAAAGTCAAATGTAGGTAGATTTATCTCCACGACACGTTTTTACCAGTCAAAAACAATAAGTTATACACATGTAATATTTATACATCTGATACAATTCAGATCA